GCAGTAATCCTGATGTTAGCGAGGCCATGTGTGAAGAGATTGGGCAGCCGATCCACAGCTTATCAAAACACTTGGAGCGTTAGCCGAACACTTTGCAAGGCAGTTTAACCAATCTGAGTTATCACTTTCTTTTTCGGCACTGAATGCCCTTCTCCCTGAGCCATCTCCTTGGATTCGTCCTCACGCTCAGAAGTCGAAAGTGAGATCAAAGTGCTGAAATTCGATAAGGCCGCAAGGACAGTTAGACTACATCCAGCCCTCTTCAAATTCGGGGGAAGTACTCCTGTAGATGATTTGCACAATTAACTTGTGAAGCGGTGAGGAGCCTGTTCCGACATAATTGTGCTGCTGCGTAGTAGTCCGAATTTTCAATGGAGACTTAACTTCGGAATGCGCATTCCTATATGAATCAGTTTAATCTCAATAACCTCGAAACTGATTACCTCTGTCGTTCTCCACAGACTGACCAGCACTCGTTAAATCCAGCTTGTTGAGGAGAAAGACGGTTTTCGTCGAAAACGTGGCTGCACTGACCAAATATTTACTTTGGGTCAATTAATGAATCACGTTCATATTTATTGGCGATCCATCGCAGGCGCGTTTCTCGACACCAAAGATACCTTTGATTCGGTGGATCAATGTGCGCTTTGGGACTATCTGCTTAGGAAAGATGTATCCAAGTACTAAGTAAACATAAGGAGATCTTTAAGCGCATAGAAAGGCGGAGGGAAGGTTTATGGCAAACTGTCGCTGCCTTCAATATTTCCATCGGTGTGTGACAAGTCACCGCTGTCGCCCTTCCCCCGTAACTTTTACATTGATGAAGCCATGAAAATAGCGTTGGGCGGACAAGATCTGCAAAGCGTGGTGCCGCTCCCGGGTGACAGATTTCTTGACTTACAATATGCCGACGACATTGTTCTTATCCTTCACAGCTCCCAGTACCAAGCAGCACTGAACAGATTAGTACTGGCTGCCGTTTTGGGCTCACTATAATAATTTTACGTGTGCACATCTCATTCCCACTTAAAATTATCGTTATGCAGTAGTGCATTTAACTCGGTGGACGCTTGAAACAACCATTTACTTATTCGATGATCCTACAAATTTTAATTTTTACTCCAACCATCCTACGGGACTTGTTAAGCACATGATTTTTACCCGTGATAAATCATTGTTCATTGTTCATATGCTTTGTACACTTGAAATGCAAGTCATTCTCCTATATTGGCAGGGACCCAACCTTGTGCTAACATTTGGTAGTGATCACCTAGAAGTCGTCCTGAAATTCAAGTATCTAGGCAGCTGGATCAGCGCCAGTTGAAGGGAACTTGAGATCATAAACCGCATAACAAAAGAGTGAGGCGGTTTTGTTTATCTCGGTTAGCTGTGAAGCCGACGCGTCATCAACCTCGCACTGAAGAACTGAGGATACAATGCAGCCGTCCTGTACGGTTGTAAAATCTGCCCCCATCAAGTCGATGGACACAAAGTGGATAGTTAGGTTCGATCATCGCTGCCTTCGTAGCTTATCTTGTCTGGTGAGAACACCGCGTGGGCAATGAATGCGTTCGGTGTCGTGTATTTGGTACAGGAGAAGCGAGTGAATTGCTCAACGACGTTAGATCACGCACCAGGCCCCGATGGCCGGGCGACATGCTGCGCATGTCAGCACATAGAGTTCAACGTCATGCGTTGTTTGCGCGCCGTTCGTGTGGATAGAAGTTGAGGAGGGTTGACCACGCGATGACTTGTTCAAGTGGAAGGAAATCCCTCACTTCGAGTTTGGTGTCGATTGGTGTCCCCCAATAAACGGTGAACACATTTGTTTGGATACACTTGCTAACATGTCGAATAGCTGGACCCAATGGCTTTTGTGTTGTAAGTTCCTTTGTCTATCCCCGCCCCCTTTACCTTCCCTCTCCAGTTACCATCACATCCGAAGACATAATTTGACATTCAGCAGTACAAGGGGTGCTTGTTGCACTATTTAAAATCCGTATTTGTTAGTATCGCAGCTTTTTAGCGTAGCGGCACATTAGCTGCATTGTTTTTCTCACCATCAGCTAACGTGTATTGATGATGACAGTGATGGCGATTGTGAGAAATCGGGATACCTGGAGGTCGAGTTCTGTGGTCAGGTTTTTGTAGTAGTAGTAGCAGTAGGTATTAGTAGTAGTAATAGTAGTGGTAGTCTTAGGCAGTAGTAGTAGTAGTAGTAGTTTGCCTACTATGCACTGACAAAGTCACTTATAATGGTGATGAAACATTTGCAATGAAACTGTTCAGTTTGGAGAACGAACGAAAACCTAATAACGATGAGATTCAAAGTGAAGCGACTCGTATTCACAAATGGTAACATGATGCCATAAATACCAAGTTTGACCCTATGCGATGTCGTTACTCCATATCCGTGGTCTCCAACCATTTTATTGCCGTGAACCGGTCAATGTTTGCACATTTTCCCGCGGCCCGCTGACGGGTACGTTGTCTGTTTATATTTTAGACTGTTTTGATTTAATGATTTTCAACTCTTGGAATATACTTGAAACTGATAGAGAAGTCATGATTTCTAAGAGATTTGCGGGGATGGCCTCATCACTGTTCCACAAGGCACAGACCTTGTGCACAACGTAAGAAGATAGAAGGGCCGAAAGGAAAGAGGCGATGAGCAAACTATTAGACAGTGGTTGTCCGCGACGTCAGATGAAACGTCAGTTACAAAAAGTACTAAAAATATATTCAGTACACTATACACGTTCATCAAGCACCATTAAGCATGCGAAAGTATCGATGAACAGAGATAAGAGTGATACACACCTTCGCTCTACGAAAGCTACAACGCCCTGCAGCTGCCATCCGCTCAGCTTGTCATATACGTAATCCTAAACGAAATGCTGTACGTGACCCGATGCCAGCCACAACCGAGCCAAATAAGACTGTGCCACCGCCCAGCAAATCATCAGTGTGTCAGTCGTTAGTGAACCGTGTAAGTCAGTCATTAGTAGACACATGCTTAACTCTTTATCTCATTATATAATTACTATCTGGTCCTATCTACGATGCAGTGTTTTATCCAAGTACTTAGATTGGTTCAAGTCATATCACAGCTGCCGGTTAACCACTCGGCTATGGAAAGTTGCACAACCCCGAGAGAAATACACCACAGTAAGCAAACTGGAAGTAATTTAATGGTTCTTGGACGTCCCGGTACCAGTTGTTCCGGAAGCCTGTACTGGTCAAGGCAGAGCGAAGACATAGGTCGCGTCATGTCAAGATTTCGACTGTTCTCCTCAGTAGCAAACACAATAAAAGCAGAAAGATATACGCACTTATAGGATTTTAAGTTCAAAATAGGCGCTCTGAAAACCAAAGTGGACCCTTCGCAAAGTAATTTGGTTGGTTTGCAACACGGACAAAACCTTCTGCGAGTTAAGTGGGACGTTTTATAAAGCAAATTGAACCGTTTGCAAACCAAATCAGACCATTGCATGTTATGCAAAGAGCATGAATTTTTTAGCTAAAAATCTGGATAAAGGCGACTGGACTTCGTTCATGCCACACTGCACTCACACCAAAGCAACCCGAACTGTGTAAGCATCGGGCGATTGTGCAAGCCTTTCTCTTGATCATGGGTGTCGTTCACCTCGATCATAGGCGATCACCCGGTTTTCTTCTGTCTCTCAGTAGGCATTCGCATATGTGCTGTGGTGTGTAAGTGACCATATGCAGCTGCACGACTATTGAAACAGTGTAGCCTGTTATGACTCCCTTAAACCCAGCCGAGCTTTACTAGTTTCGTACTGCAACAAACGACCAAACTGGGAGACGAATGTCGAGGGGACGCATCTCCTAGGCACCGGCGGTACAAGCGAACGTCATCAGCTCAGAAAGAGATCCTTACCAATCTTATGTTCGTCGACGGCAAAACAACCCATGAAGCTCTTAAAGTTGCCGATGTCAACGAGAGCAGAGTAGGGAACATCATCAAACCCTAAAGGCAAGGAGGTACGAATGTGGTCGCAGACCTCTTCATTGCGTAATTTTAAGCAGATTAGCTAATGAACATAGCCTGCAAGCCCATTTGGTGGCGGATACCTTGGGCTACTTTTGCCAAGTGTTATACACATTAGATCCGTCAATATCCGCTTCTCATCCAACAAACATTTCAGTGACCGACCTCAATATTTCAAATATAATTGGTTACAAATGTGAGTGACTTATTGTGAAGGAGCGCTGCTAGTAACTCCTGAACTGAATAGTTACTGCAGTGCCCGAGGTATTCGTCATTGGGCGGGCTTGAAGTCCAGTCAGTCGCTAGCTAGGCTACCTATTATTTCGCGCTGGCGATTTCGCTCTCACTACTGATGGAATGTCTGGAGCCAAACAGCTTATCACTGCACTACCTTTGATCGTAGGCATCCAAACGACAGAGACGTCTGTGCGCCCACGCGGTGGATTGTGGGAACGGCGGCTCAACGGAGGTGGTGTCAGTCTCTGGTAATCGGGGAAAAACCTGTTCACTCATAAATCCACCCTTGATTGTGGGTAATCCGTGGCATTTCATTGTACAGAAAGCAGCAACAAAACCTGTGAAAAGTTGTCTACGGCACCGCCATCGATGCATCGCTTCAAAACCCGTTAACTATTTGGATGTTGCCAGGGCAGTAGAGGCACACACAAAGCTACACACACAATGGTTGCCGGAGGTTAAAACTTACCATTCCTCACTTGCACCTTAGTTTGGGTCTTTAGGTCGCAGGTTAAATAAAAGGCATTCTTTCGACCGTTAAACGGTCCGACCATTAGTTCTGCTAACTTTGTTAGGATATAGGCCAAGCGCTGTTAACATACCCTCGAAGCTGTGACGGAAGTGCGGCGTCTAATGCCACCTGATGAGCTGAAGTTATCCTCAATGTCTTCAAATTCTCGGTACTTCAGCAATTTTGGCTCACGATGCATTACGTCAAGTGGACAATATATCGTGGTAGCTTACTTACCGAACAATTTCCAGTTGCTTTCTTGTTTCCTCCAACTTCACTTCGTTGATCCTCACCTCACTCAAACGCTCATCAAGGCGCCTTCGTTCTGCTCCCAACGCCTCTCTGAGTTGATGAATTTCATCTTTAGCCTGCAATAAACATTGGAGCTAGAAGGATCCCACAACAGAAAGGTTGTGTGCTGGTGATAAGTAGACATCATCTAACGAGTAAATACAACCAACGGAAAATGGTTTCTACTCATTATGATTCAGTTTAACGGTTGCACCAAGTAAAGGAATTTGGACGGCAAAGCGACGTGGATAGTTAAGCTATGTTACGCGGTTGCATTGGAACTAAGACCAAATCGAAAGAGCCCACCTCACAGACACTAAGAAACCCTGCTGAATTGGCATTCTAGGCGTACACAAGTGCTCAGAGGTTGTTAAACGCAACCTACATCTTTATGGCACATGAGCACATGTTGGTGTTTGATACATAGAGGATCAGTGTCTGTAGCTCGATTAGTTGTGAGGATGTGAGAGAATTGTGAATAGCAGACATTCCCAAACGTGGTAGTTGAACTGGAGTATTTTTCATTATAGTTCCGGTCTATCAGCCTAACATAGTTTCGAAGAATCTTAATGCTAATTCTACCGCCAGCCACCATCAATCTACCCAAGTCAGCGAAAGAACTTGAAGATTCTACAGAGTGCGTGTTCTGTCCGCATTCGCATAAGATGAACTCCCGGATAAAGTATCAGTGGAAAGAAAGAGGTAAAGCTCGACAGAATCTTAGTGTTACTTATTACTGTATTACTAATGAAGTTACCAGGCACGGTTTTCCAAGCCAACTACAGCTACTGTCACAACTGCATTGTCTGTAGGTAGCACCGATGTACAAGCAAAGTGTCTGCTTGCGAATAGTTACAGACCCAGTGGTGACTATGTTTCTCGCACTGGCTTGGAGTGCAAGCATAGATCGTCTGAGTACCTGGCCAACTCAGAACAGCTTATCCTGATTACGCAGTAGATGAACTGAACACAATTAACTTTAGGTTGGATGCGATAGGAGATAGCATATTAGAAACACCTAACTAAGGAGAAGAAGTGTGTTACGGTGGTAAGATGTTGCTTGGGGTAAGTACATAACTGTCTACGCCATACGTTACAGCCGAACCATAGGATATTCCAGAACGCCATTACGTTGTATCTGTTGGGTGATTAAAATCCCACCTTGATAAAAGGGCTCTACGTTTCAACATCACAATGATGGTGAAAATCTGCTTCCCTGAATGTATGCCTCCAGTAGTATGCAGTGTGGTCTCACCGTTCTGCCGACTCTTAATACCCGTGTTGATCAAGTCAGTGATCACCATCTAGCACCAGTTTCTGGCATTCCCATATGTATTAGCTTGTCCAAAGCTAAGCCAAGCTGTGCCGCTCTGAAATAGTTCTGTATCATATTAAACACCCAATTGGCATTCTCCTTCACAACACAAAGTGAACGTATCGGTCGAAGCCATGCGTACGGATATGCAGTTTATTTCCACAATGTACAGAGCTTAGGGGTAGGGGTTTCAGCTGAAATCCCAAAGATTTCAGGTTAGAGTCATTGTGCTGTTATCTCTGCATGAAATGTGCTAAAAATACGCACGAAGTCGTAGAGAGCAGCGCTGCGAGCGGGAAACATTCAATGTTCATCTGCTTCATATCCGATCCAAGCGACTGAATTATCTCAAGTTCATATCAAAGTGGGCTGAGGTTCCGATTGACATGGCGTGTGGCAATCAATTCATCCAACCGTTTTGCAAATACTGCAGTCATTTGAGTTGCATGGGTTGCTCAGAAATGGTGTATCACAAAGTCTGTATTCGTGCATAAAACATCTAAGGGCTTATTTGTCGAAAATATACCAACGCAGAGCGAAAGTGAACGAATTGAGTTTAATGGCGTCGCTGACGTCGTTTTAATCATTTTAACGACATCAGCAGCATGCAAATTTGAGGAAACTTTCCACCATTTTGTACACTTTTACTTTTCTCCGCACTAATTTCGCCCTGAAATCAATAGTTTTGCAAGATGTATGCCTTTCATTCAACCGTCGTGCAAATATTTCAGTAATTTGAGTCGCATGGGGTGCTCCGCAATGGTGTATCGTAATCAATTCACACAACGAGCGCTTTACAAGGAGCAACCCATAAAGACCGAATAGCACTTTGATTCCTCCTCCAAACTGGATTGTCTGTTAAGTACAAGGCGGCTTTATTCCAAAAGTTTTCCACCATTCTCACCCAGAATTTTACACGTGTACTTCGAACATCTACATTATTACACCTTTAAAGTACGGCATATTGCCGAATATAAGCCCAACCATAGATTGACCGCCGGTACAACGTTGCAACATCACATTTGTCCATAATCGTAAGTCCCTATATTAGCCGACCCTCTCCCCAGAAAAAATACAAAAGGCGAAACTAATTTGTTTCTCCACGGATCTGACTTCATCACTACATGCTTTCACTTTAGTGTGTTCAAGCAAAACCTGCTCAAACACAAGTTAGTTGTGGTGACTTTAATGTGTTACAATCGTCGTTAACCGAGAGTAGAGCCGTCAGAACAAAGACTCACCGTACCGGACCATATGTCGAGTCTGCTGAAACACGCAAGACAGCGGACAATATGCGGTAAGATGATGTGTCAGAAATGCTACCTCTCAAAGTCGAGGACTTCACGCATAGGAACTATAGTGGAGCAGTGGGTGAGAGTTAAGTTTACGGTCAGGGGGTATGGGACGAGGTGTGTGGTGATTCCCTGGGTAGATTTTTCAGGTGGTTTTTCAAATTGCATATAGCCTTTGCATAAGTCGAGATAAAGGATAAATGTTCAAAAATCATCGGCTTATATTTGGCGCTATACGGTACTTACTGTGCATCGTTAGCATATCATTGCTTATTCAAGAGCAAATACTTCACCTTTGACAGACTGCCGATTAGCGAACTTCTACACCGTGACGTTTTCACACGCTGTCGCAGGTCTTCCTGCATCTGTCCTATTTCATTACAATTACGAACTAATTCATCAGTTGTCTACTGTCTTTAATTTGACGCATAGAACCAAGGCAACGGGAATTGGTATTTAATTGCACTGTCCAGATAATGCATATAGATTAAATCCAGTAGTCTATAGTTTTGCGATTCCGTCTCGTGTGATTTACTTTGGCTAGAATTCGTATCGTTTCCACACACACTCCACCTGTTTCATGTTGCATTTCCAGAATCCAGAAAGAGATGGCTGCCTTGCAGACCTCTTAAAAGCAGCACATAAACTGAGTTTGGGGGGAAATCGACTTGTTACAATAAGACGCCATTTATGCGGTACAGTACGTCGAACTCTCCTGTTGAAATATTCCCGATAGCTTGGGACATGTGCTTCAGCCTATACAGTTCCTTCAGAGGGTCCGCAAGCAAGCGGCGATGGGCTGACCCAGGTCAGGTGCATGTGTGGTGGTAGATGAGCAAGCGGACACCCGGTAAAGTGATGTACATTTGGCCCTGGTTCTAGTTTCTTTATCGATACAGTGGTGCTGGCTAGATTTGGTATCGTGAAAATATCTATTGAGACAGGGGGATACCGTTGCTGTACTACGAGTGTTATTTACGGGAGTACAACCCAAATGGTGCATTTATCTCTGGATGTCAGCGTTCGTCCAGATTCAGTCAGACGGCCACTAACCAACCAACCATCGGTTACGTTCTTGAACCACATAACCTAGTCATTATCTAATCGTTTGATAAAACTTGGCATTGAGTGGACCAAGGCTGTTAGTCTTATGCAAGCTGTACTATTCTGCCCACCTACTGGTACTACTTCAACTCACAACACAGTGACGTCATCGTCTCTAATTGTCCTCGAAAGAATATACTGCCTGTTCTACCAAGTCGAGAGTGAGCTTCGATACACTTGGTCATCGCTTTGCAGTCGGGTGTCATCTTGATTCATTAGCTTCCATCTGTTGCATTTCAAATGTATTTTGTGGCATTCTATCGAAGAAAATATACCCATGATCATTACTCTCCGGGACACCGTCTACACTTTTTATCACATCGTTTGCACCAACTGTGATTGTGATGTTACCTAACAGGTTACGAGAGAGAAACCTACGCGCCGCTAGGGACCTGGAAGGTCAGCCAACACCGAGAGCCCAACTTGACCACCTTTACACGGACCGTATGAACATTGAGGAAGGGGAATGCAGTGTTGCAGATCAGGCGCGGTTTTGGTCCTGGACAAAAGCGAACGAGCTGACAGCACATGAAACTGATCGTGAGCGGACGGCGCATGGTGTGTTGGCAGCTGATGGGCCAAGCAAGTAGAACAGGCGGAGCTGGTAGGTGGGAAGCTCATGTCTGGGGGGAACACCGTGTGAGCGATAGACGTGTTTGGCGTAATGTATTTGGTGCAGGAAGAGCGAGTGAACCGCTCGGAACCAGGATATCACGCACCAGGCTCCGATGGGTGGGCCACCTGTTGCACATGCCAGCACACTACCTTCCGCGGTGCGCGTTGTTGGGGCGCCCTGGGTCTGGATGGAAGAAGAGGCGGAGGGGCCAAGCAATGACTTGGGCAATAAGAATGAAATTCCTCACTTCGAAGTTGGCGTTGGTTGGTTTGTCCGGACTGCTGGCTGGGGTCCGAAGGACGACGAAAACGTGTGGCTGGATACACTTGTTTACATGGGAAGGAGCCGCCTTCAGTGGCGCTTGCGTCGTGAGTTTCTTTGTCTCCATCCCGCTTACCTACCCCTTCCCACATCGATCTCCCTCCTGAGGCATAACATGTTACTAAGTAGTAGGTCGCCTGTTTTTAGCCTTCGATAAGTTTCAACGTCTTACATTTTCATTTGCCTTATCTTTATGTACTGCGGCACAATAATTGAAGTGTGTTTCTCACCTTCAGCTAAGGTGTAATGATGATGGTGATGATGATGGCAGGTGGAAAGCAAAGCAGCGTCGCTGGCGATAGCTTACCACATGCACAAGGACCGGAGAAATAGCCCAGAATGAGTTTAGGGTATTGTGAACGAAGCCTAATGGTTCTTCCAATTTAGCTGGGAGTCGTCCAAACAGCTGAGAACGATGGTCGCGAGCTAATGACCTCAGCCAGATGACTAGCAATAATCAGCTCTTGAAAGTGCGCTGCTGTAAAATATTGATTCAAAATTGATTCAAATTTATGTGATAAACCATTGTACATGGTTCTACAGCATCCATCAATGGCCCTGTGTAAGAGCTAAGCTGATCCCAGAAACAATGGACAAAAATAGAGTTTGCTTAATCGCATTCGATGGTAACCACGTAACAGTTGACCTGGGATCTAACACCCTGGGCTATGGAATCCGACATCCTGTGGTGCCCATAAATGACCGGACAACGGCCAACAACAAATTAGCCAAACACAGGTCCGTGGTGGTTGTATAACTTGGTTTACACCCGGACCCGAGCAAAGAAACTAGTCAACAAGCTGCTGAGCTGCTGTATGGTAGCCACCAAATAACCCAATACCACTTAAAACAGTAGTGAAATCGCACTGATGATACATTACAATCTGCCCTGTGAGGTATCAGGATACATAAACTGACAGCATTACTTCTCTGTGCCAATGATGTTTTAACAAACTGAAAATGTTACGTAGTTACCTCTTACAACTGGATTTACAGCACATACACTACTGTGAGGTTACCTGTCGCAAAGCAGACTCCTCCTCTCGACGTTTCTCTTCCCATGCGACTTGAGCGGCACGAAGCCTCTGATGTTCTTCCGCACACAGCGCCCTTTCCTCAGCAGCCTTTGTTTGCAATTTTCGATGCTCTTCAAGGAAAGTACTCTACGTAGGAAATAAGCATTATAAAGAAAAATTATATTAACATCTTCACACCATATTCATTGTATCTATTGGATGGTGTTCAGAAAGGCATATGAAGTGATGTAAGGAAATCTAGTGATAGCAACGACCTGCAGTCTAGGCCCATAAGACTAAAGTAGATTTACAGCACCCATACGTCGCTCAAGACTGTGTGGAAAGCGAAGGTGGACGAAAGAAACATTAATCTTAGCGCTAGTGAGATTAGAGAGATCACTTAACTTGCGCTTAAGTCCAATTTGTAACTGCGGCCCTTGCTTTTGGAAAAAACCCGTTCCTTCGGAAATGTGGCACTTTGGGCGCTCGTTCACATACGATATTATTAGGTGCTCACGTCATCGGCAAATCTTTGTCATCGCAACAACTCTCACTAGCTGTCAGAATTTCGACATACGACTGGGGGAACTTGGCAAAGCGAGGCATTTGTCTGCTGCGCCACGTGGGAATACTGATGACCCTTAAGATAGCGATAGCAATGGTCGCAGATGGTAGACCAAAACATTGGAAAAGCAGTTCCGATACAATCAACCTTATTTGATCCGTCTGGGGTTCACGTCAGCAACAGCTGCAAGCTTTGCAGAGCAATGCATTAACTGGTAGCTAATGGAGGGGAAATTCTACCTCGGAGCTCATGCTCGTTGTTCTTGCGGAAGTCAGTTATAGGAGGTGGATGCTATTTATCAGCCTCCTTATAGCGGCTCCCACCTAGGTCAAAAGATCTCACCCAAGGTTCCGTACAACTTGTGAAGCCGTGAGGTTGAATGAAGGGCGGCAGATTGCATGGGAAGTTGTTGCTCTGGGACCAGTCCTGTCCTCTGCACATCAACATGCAAGACATTGGAGGATGAGCCGCGCTATATCGCAGTAAGATATCAGTCATGGCGGTCCGCTGCCGTCACCCATGGCTCAGTGACATAAGTCGCTGACTCGCACGAGTAAGGTCGTGGGTTCGAATCCGAGCAGGGTTGGGCGGTTGCGCGATACTGACGAGTCCCAATAGGACGAAAAGGCCGTCTAGCACTTTCTTGGATGTGTGGTGGCTGTCTGTCGGCGTCTAACTGCGACGAATCTACACAAAAACCTAATAAATCCCCTACTACTTACAAATGAATAAAGGGATGAGGAGGAGGAAGATAGGAAGGATGATATAGCTACATCCTACCTCTTTATGTCTCCCCGTTGACGATCAGCCTGCATCAGCTTTGGTGATCACTATCTATTAAATAGCCCTAACAAACTTTCTGCTCTACAGTATAAAACCGTTGTCAATACATTAATTGGATCAGAAAGATGAATGACAGAGACAGTGCCTATTCAAACGATATGGTCGGACTCCACGAAGTTTCTGCATACGTTGCATTTATCATACAAAGCACAAAATACAAACAACACATTTTAACTATGTTATAATTGAGGGAACGCCTCTGTTCTGACTGCGTAGTTGTCTGATAAGAGTGTCGCTGGCACGGTTGGAGCACGCCTACGATGACGACCTGTAACGCTGGCCAATCGAACGGAGTTGCGCTGACCTGATGACGCTAGCTTATCCGGTGAGACGGAAAATTGAGCGAGCGTGTGAACGATCCGAGCCGCACGTGTTCGGATAGACGCTGAGCCCTCGGAACGGACGCACATGAGAGGGGGTTACGATAGACGCGCGCTAATGAATTAGACGCGGACGCTGGCCAGCTAACGACGCACACGAAATCACGTGACCCGACCGACTCTCAAGTAAGACGAAGAGGAAAGAAAGACAGGCGGTCCTCTGTAAGCTCTTTCACGACCAACAAAGGGCGAATCACAGTCAATGCTATGGGTCAGTAAGTAGGGGAAAATTTCTGCCATGACGTGGTGGTAGTTTGTAAAAGGCCATTGTCAAAAGCTGCGCAGTTGGGCCGCGTCTCGGAGTGGCTCATCACTGCTACGTTGTGTGGAGGAATTGTACCTCGCTTTCCATAGCCGTTCTGCCGGGGTTTCTGGCGCGTTTTAGCGGAAATATTTGATGTGCCCGCAACAGACTATGAGAAGGATGTTGGCTAAAAATGCGACCGATTCACCTACACAGTAGGAACTCCATCTGGTGGCACGACAGATGCAAACTAGCTTTGTCACATAACGCAGTGTTCACTTACAGCATCAGATAATACACATGTATTGGAGTTCAGTCGGTGGAAAAGCTCGTATATCTGTGTATTATTGTGAAAATCATCTTGATGTTTGTAAATGTAGAACTGGCATAATCAGCTCCGGACAAACCATCCGCAGTAGCCCCCTCGTCTAGTATGAGTTGCGAATCAATAAAGTGCCAAATGCCGCTGCAGAAACAAAACCAACGGCTTGATCCCGGAACCTAGATGACGAGAAACCAAAGATAAGGAAAGGTTCGTCCATCCTGGCAGCAGTATTCGCAATGAGTGCTTGAGTGAATAAGTTATGTTGCGTCTTCAAAAAGTTAGAACTGCCTTCCTGAGCCTGCCATATGAGCGGCGCAAGGATGATAATTATCATTTGTAGTAAGACGACTGTTTTCCACAGTGGGGGTAACACTGATCCCCTCTGGTCTGAGGAACCAAAGCGCGCTCAGTAACTGCGATCATCGTTGTCTGCGGAACATTGCTTTTGTTGGATGGAAACAAGGTTTCGACAATAAGGATGGGCATAACCTAGTGCTAACCTGTGGTGATCAGCTTAATCGCTAAGTGTAATAAACATATTGAGTTGTTTGCGTTGCCTTAGACGCATGCTCCGTATGTCAGGCCAGCGTGAAAGGCATTGTTTCGTTTGCATGGTGTTGGAGGGCTCAAAACTCTGGAGGGAAAAGCGTTAACTTGCCAGTCGGAAATGAAACCCATGGCGACTAAATTGGCTATGGATGGCGTTTTCTGCTTTCCAAAGTAGAGTCCAGGTGAGCCACTACGTGATTAGCGCTTGACTATACTACATGTCTCACAGCCATGACCACTCTCGGGATTGCCGTCATCCTCTATTCGCAGCGTGTGTATAAAATATATCGGCTGCTGGGTTGTCCACGGAGTAAGATTACCAACGACGCGGCTTAATGAAAACCCCGTGGAAGCTGTGTCGCTGTGCAGCGTTATCATCACAGGAGAACCAGTAGCTTGCAACCATGTGGGGGAAATTAAGTGTACACACCGTGATCCCGTATACGAGTGAGGGCCTTTGGCTTCCCCAATTTAATGATACCGGACGAACATAGTTGCAGCTGAAACTCGGAGTGTACGAAGACAATCCTGAGTTACAGTGACAGCTAGACTGAAAGGTATGAGCTGGTCTATTTCGAACTATTACAGGCTTTTGACCTTCCGGATCGCGGATTGATCCTTGACAAGCTTCGGAGCAATAGGACAAGTGATCCCATCCTGAAGTGGATAAGTGCCTGCTGAAATCAATTTGTATGGAAGATTTACCAGTGCCTTGCTTGGAACAATATGTATGTCGTCCCATATGGCTCAATACAAGGCCCGTAGTCTTAAGGATCACAAGCCTGCCTTGCAATCTGAGAGCGCAAGTTCGAGCCTGCGTAAGGACCGGGCGATCGTAGCGGCATCATTAGCCAAGGTGCGACTGGTTGGGGTTCCGCGCAGCGAAGTGTCGGTACTGCATACGGGCGTACCGCCAATGCTTTACTTAGTTTTCGTATTTTCAATACAGGGACTATGGCTCTTCATAAGGCGGGAAAGTGCCTCTCAATTTTTCGTTATGCGCTGACGGTCCTAAGGCGTGACATGACATCAGAAAAGTAGACTACCGAATAACAACATTAGACGACCTTGATAATACACATGCGTACTAAATCCACAAAATGGACTCGTTTAACTTGTCCAGCTGCAAACGCATGAGTATGCTCCACCAACCAACCTATCAAAATCGGATCGGACGACGTCTACTGCAGCAATGGACATAAACTTAGAGTGTTCGTACAAAGTCAGCGGCGAGGCTAACGAACGTGTGCTTCTTGCGGAGCATATTTCAGTGTTTAAAATCTACCATCTTTTGGTAAATGCCAAACCATTATGAGAAGCCCAGTGCCTTAGTACACCATCCAGGTGTTGAGGTTCCGCAACCAATGGTGATTAAAGTGCCATCGGCTTTCTCCATCTCCTTTGCAAACACAAACCAAAGACACTAGGACTTTTCAGCAGCCAGTGACGTTGTATGCAATAGTAGCCCCACAAAGAACCCAACTACACATACTGTCCCACAATGAATATCAGCTAGGGAGTCTCCTTCAGAATGCACCATGTAAAGCTGGCTGTGGATGTAACCAGTTCGAATGCTGCCTTCGTGTCGCCTTCGTGAGCGTGGAATGCTCTTCCGATTTCTGTTATCTCCGCTTCTTTTACAACAGAAGTTAACACTCGGCTTGAGAATGCGTTACCCTGTCTGTTTCACATGATATAACCCAAGTTAATGGATCACCGAGTGGTGTAACGAACCGAGCGTAAAATCTTCGGTGTGCCCCCCAGGACAGTCAACAATTTTCGAAACATTTACAACACCAGTGCCATTTTCGACTGTGGTATGTTTTTACCCATGATAAATCCGCTGACCAATTTTCCCCACTTTTATATAGTTATCGCTTTTTAGTAATTATAGTTGCTTGGCAGCAAGGTACCAGTTCAGCTTACGGCTGCAGTTAAGCTGCTGGCTTCAATGGTGATGAAGATGATGATGATTCAGAAGTTATGGCATTGGTTAACGAAAGTCCCATAGGTTTGTTCACACTCACCACCAGCTGCTGTAATTCTGCTCGTTCTCTTCCGGCCTGCTCCACCAAGCCTCGGCGTTCTTCCTCGATACTAATTTGCGCCTTGTCCAGTCGATTGTGTTCTTGTCGCAGTGACCACCGATCCTGCAACAGAAAGAGTCAGAGTGATGTATTATTGCAAGCCACATGTCGGACAACAATCGTTAGCCCAGTGTTGCTCACGACGGCAGCAGTAATGCGAATTTCAAGCGCCCAAGGTGCAGGTCAGCACATACAGGCATCACATGTGTACGATTAAAGTTGTGCACATGCCACAGCTCAACTATGAAATTGGCTGTGCTCCGCTAACACTGGCATACATTGTAACCAGGACACATTCTGGCAGTACCCACGGACGCAGCTGATGTTTGAAGCACCTTGTTCTAGATTCTACCTTTGCCTCCGGATTACTGTCTTATACATGCTTGTTGTGTGCGTTGTGCACCAATATTCTTCCTTTGTTGCATTTTCCATCTGTGCTACTTTGGTGGATATTTGCTGGTTACTTTCGGAGATCGCACTGCTTGGCCCAACTGCTCATGGAGTCCGTTATCTTGGATTGGTTTGTGGACTTGCCAACTGGTGCAAGGGCATACCCTGGGACCGACGCGCAGCCGAAGCAACCCCATCGGCCGCTCACTTGAGCTTTCCAAATTCAAAGTTTGGTTGACTGGTACATACAGCCACGGAAGACAGAAAATGCATCAGTCCACCCACTGGCTCAGGTAACGACACCAAGCAGAATGGCAAACATGGAGTAAGTGCACATCCAAAAAGGCGCCAAGCTAAGCGTGTGTGCCGGTGGAGAGCATGTAATCGATTAGTCAAACTCGGCTTATATTGCTTGCATTGTATCAAGTGGTACCTTCCGAAATGTGCTGACTTATCCCGATAGCACCCATTGTTTGTCAGAGCTTCCTTCACAAGATAGTCAAGGGGCCGGAAATCACAATTTAAAACAATGACGATTCATCTGCGAGACCATTTCCTTGAATAATGTTGGGCCGCAGTTGCGAATAAGGTTAAATTATTCGCCAATTTATAGAGGATACGATCCGGGAATCCTAAAACTCGTGGTTCAACCCGAGCAAGCGGCGATGGGTGTGCAACATAGTTGGCGCAAAAACCGAAAAAGCCCTCCTTCGGAACTTTGGTTGAGAATTGCAGGTGCTTCTCAACTTCCGGTAACGAAAGCATTGGAAAAGGCAGACGTGCCGGCAATGAGTACTCCTGTACACGATACTGCCGTAAATCTAGATGAGGATTGGGACGTGTCTTGGCTAAAGCAAGGTACAGAAGCAGTATCAGTATCTCATCAATAAACGAAGAATGGACGACCTCACACCGGTCTGCACTTCCACACACCTGAATTGCTTGACCCTGTGTGGTATCCTAGTGACCGATAAATAAGTCTACTTGTACGCGAATGTTTAAGGGCTCTTCAATAAGCTGGCCAACCTGGAAGATTGCCACGTATCCCAGGCGTATGATATCATCGACATCACGGAGACGTGGTCACACACTGAAATTAAGGACGCTGAAATTTCGTTACCCGGCACGTCACTCATTCGGAACGATAGACTGACAAAATTAGGAGGCCTACTTCCGTATTACCGAAGCGAATTACAGTGCGATGTAATGGAAGATTCAGATTCGCTGATTGGCTTTGGTGTCGCATGCATAAACATCATTATACACGTTAGCTGGAGGTGGGAAAACATCTCCGCTATTGTGCCGCAAAACATGAAGGGAATACATACATGGTTGGCGGCATCCGGTTTTGGATTTGCCTGGCACTGTGGCCAGCCACAGGACGCCTGCGCATACAGAGGGACCATGGGTGGCTTGCGCTGCACCACCCACAGCTCCAATCACATACCCCATATCCAGTGTAAACCCGAAGGAATAAGACAGGGAGGCATGTGGATGGGAACCACGTTTCATCAACGGAGCCGGCCCACACTCCTTCACAAGCAAACACAAGCACTCTGTATTTGGGGAATCAATCGCACACAAGGCGGTGGCTGGACCGTAGTCCGCTCCACACTGAGTGCATGGAACCACTCTTTGATCCTAACACGGTCACAAGGACTGTGCATCTCGCCCCCTCTAGCAACGACCAACTGTCTCCTGGAGCCAGTATGGACGAGGTAGTGGGTAATAGACAGGTAGGCACCTTGTCAACATGCACATCAAGCGCAGCCTCACCGGGGATATCAAGCAACAGCCAACCACTTGAGAGAAAGATAACAAAGAAAATAAATCGAGTAATGCATAAGGAAAGGGTGACATATATCTTAAAGTAATGAGCATCTGAAGTAAATTGTTTACAGAAGAATGCGAGATAAGTGCACGAGGTCAGGAAGTATACTTTACGGAAATGCCACGAACACAAAAATGTTTTCGAAAAGGACTAGAACTGGCTTAAGTGACGTGGACAAGTTTATAGAAGAGAGTACAGGTAGACATTTATATAAGAAAGAAAAGCATTTAGGCAAAATTGAAAACCCACCACCTGAAATAAACAGACTTAGCACGCAAGCAAACAGTGACATAAATCTTAAATTAGTGAGCATATGAAATAGGTTGCTTACAAAAGAATGCGTTTACAAAAGAATACGAGGTAAGTTCACTAGGTCAGGAGGTTTATTTTACGGAAATGCTACAAACACGGAAATGTTATCGAAATAACTGCAAGTGGCTTAAGCGATGTGTGCAAGTGTATAGAAGAGAGTATAACTGGGCATTTATATGGGAAAGAAAAGCATTAGGGAAAACTTGAAAACCCACCATCTGAAATAAATAGACTTAGCATGCAAGCACGCGGTTAGTATATCGAATGCAGCGTACCTACAAACGCTGCGCCGGTTCTGCCTACGTTCTCTACAGAACCCATCGGCGCTTCGGTAATAGTCCCGAGTGGCCTCGCTCATGGCTCACTAGGCCTGCCTGACTCAGGCAATCGCGACCGCATGTGCTACAGCACCATGCACTCGATGTCGATGGAGTACAATTCATTGGTGCTTGCCGCTTCCGCACTTGCCGCTTCTTCTCTGCATGCGTGAGGGCTTGCGCCTGCACCTCGGCAACTGCCTTCGTGATCAGATCGCGCCATGCACACCGATCAACCGCCTTCGATTCCCATGATCAGCAATCAAGATTAGAACGTGTGAGGCTCACTTTAATCATGTCCTGGTAACGTAACTCTGGTTAACCCACGTGCCGCTTCCCTACACAAAGCTGACCATATCATAGCTGCTTCGGTATCCGCGTCGAATCCATACGGCTCACATGACCGATCCACCTCAGATGTCTCAATAAAAGTATGCAGACCACTGTATACATCCCACTTCGGCGCAACACTTCCGTGTCTGCAATTCTGACGCCCTAACCGATGCGCTAAATTCGTCGCAGACACTGCTGATGGAACCGCTCGAGATATCCCACATCCAGCCGGTACTTCGGCCACGTTTCACTGCCGTATAGAAGAACGGACAGTACCATGGATTTGTACACCATCAGCTTTGTGCCAATGCTAAGCTGATGGTTGTTCCACCCTCGGCACTTAAGCTTCCCGAATGCCGCTGCTGCCTTCGACACGCGGATACGCAGCTCACTATGTATCTGCTGATCAGTCGACATCACACTCCCAAGGTAGCAGAAGCGGGAGGTGGTTTCCAATACTTCAGCACCAATGCTGATTCGCAGCAATATTGAAGATTGCACCTCCGGTGAAGGCTGAAAGAGACAGACAGTTTTGCTTGTGTTGACGGTGAGCCCAAATTTTGTCGCTGTCGAAGCCAGAGCACTAGTCATGTGCTGCAACCCATCCGCGCTGTGTGAAAACAACACACAGTCATCAGCAAACAGCAACATACGGATAGTTGTCTCACAGACTAGAGTTCTCGCACCGAAACGACGGATGTTCAGCAACCCACCATCAATACGGTGCTCCACACGAACACCGTAAGCACAAGCGGCATCAAAACACAAGACAACATTGCATGAAGACATATATTAAACAGGGCAGGAGCTAAGACACAGCCTTGCTTCACACCAGAGACAACTGCAAAGTCATCCGAGGTCTCTCCACTCAGCTGCACCCTCGCTCGCATACCACTGTGCAGACATTCAATTAAACTTACAAACTTACGCGGGCAACCAAACTTACCCAACACCAGCCACAATGCCTCGCGGTTCACCGTATCAAATGCCTTGGTGAAATCAACAAAAAGCGAGTACAATGGCTGGTGTCGTTCTCTGCACTTCTCTTGCAACTGACGAGCCGCAAACACCATATCTATAGTGCTGCGACCCGGACGGAATCCGCATTGCTCTTCCGCCACGTTAGGTTCCACAACCTGACTGACGAGGCGGTTGAGCAGGATTCGGGCAATCACCTTGCCCACACAACTCAGCAAGTTGATGCCACGATAATTCGTGCAACATTGCTTGCTACCTTTGCCCTTGTACAGTGGTAGCACAAGGGCATCCTTCAGCTCATGAGGCACCTCCTCCTCAATCCACACGCGTTGCACCAAGTGGTGCAGCGCAGTCAACAACGCGGGTCCGCCGTGTTTCAATACTTCAGGCGGGATCCCGTCGGCTCCGGCACATTTGCCGTTTCGCAGCTGAGCAAGTGCTCCCTACGTCTCATCCAGTGTCGGCGTGTCCGCCAGATTCGCCTTCACATCGTGCTGCTTCAGGCCGTTCAATGTAGGTCAGTCGATCTCTGAACGGTTGTTCAAGAGACAGTCAAAGTGTTTTCGCCAGATCTGCATTATGTCTGCAGTCTGGGTGCAGGTAGCGCCTGAACTACCATCGATCAGTGTCCTCAGAGGCTCCAATCTCGGTCCATACACCGCCTTCAAGGAGTCAAAGAATTCCTTGTGTTGACGGCGTTCGGCGTAACATTCCATCTGCTTCGCCTTCTCCGTCCACCATGCATTTTTTATGCGACGGAGCTCTCAGGTCAGTCGCCGTCGAAGTTTGCGAAACTGACTCTTCTTCCCCAAGTCACTGGGATCTGCAACATGTGCAGCAAATGCTGCATTCTTCTCCGACACCAATGAGCCGATCGTCGCATTGTTCTCATCAAACCAATCAGGCCGCTTACAGTTTGCGCGCCCGATGGTCTCCTCGGCAGCAGCTGTCACCTGGTCGCGAATGTGGTGCCACAGGTCGCCCACTGTGGCTATGCCTTCCACATCACACAAGCGTGCAGCCATCGCCTTCTCTAGCTCAGTACGTTTCGTCACAGTACCGAGGGAGAGAATGTTAAATTTACGCCGATTCACGGCGGGAATGCAATACATAGATTTACGAAAATATATGTACAGTTTGGTCCGAACCAATTTGTGATCAGTGCCACACTCAACTCCACGCAGTACACGTGTCATGCGCACTTCACGCATATCACGCTGACGTACGATGACATAGTCGAGCAGGTGAGCGTGACCACTCCGTGGGTGCGTCCAGGTTGCTGTATCATTCGCACTCAGTGCAAACCGAGTGTTCTTGATCGTCAGGCCGTGAGTGGCACATAGTGAAAGCAGCCTGTCACCGTTCGCATTCCCTGAACCAATGCTATGCAAACCGATAACACCTGTCCACGCTGATACATCACGCCCAACGCGCGCGTTGAAATCACCCAGCAGAAATAGTCGGTCGCTCTTCGGCACAGACCGTTTCACTGAGGATAGCTCAGTGTAGAATTGATCACGCGTGTCATCAGGATAACACATGGTCGGACCGTACGTGCTTATAACAGTAGCAAACTTACCTCTTCCGAGTCGCAGGCGAACGGTCATCAGTCGCGCTCTGATGCCTGTTGGTTCACTCACCAGCTGGCCATGGAGGCGATCGGATATTGCAAATCCGACCCCATGTTCAGGTGGTGCTGAGGCGGCGTTTCCCACCCAGTAGAATGTGTAGCCAGCACCTGTTTCATGCAACTTACCTTGCTCAGCGAGCCGAGTTTCACTGAGCGTCGCAATATCGATGTGGTAGCGCGCCAGCTCCATCGCGACCAGTGCAGTGTGTCGCTCGGGGCGCTCGCTGGAGTTCCGGTCCAGTAGTGTGCGCACGTTCCAGCATCCGATGCTGAGTGCTTTACGCGCAGGCATACGATTGCATTGGTGAGCAATCGAACGCGAGGTGGTCTTTGTACTTCGAAGGCTTGCTTAAATTACTCCGCCCGGAGCCTTTGGCTCAATAGCCTGACCCACAAGGCAGTGGGTGGTTTGGAGGTTTGCTTGAGGGACTCCACCCGGAGCCTTTGGCTCAATAGCCTGACCCACAAGGCAGTGGATAGCAGATCCAGCTCGGGAATGTGATTGCAGAGACAGATTGGGATCCGCTTGACGGCCGTCACACGCAGCCTTGGAGGTACTGGAACAATTGGTATATGTTTTGCGACCGTAATTGGATACGCACCTGCGACCTCGGCCAGACGCAGGTGGGTTTTGGCGGGTTTGTACCATTTTGACCAGGGGCTGCCTGGCTTGAGGCGGGCAGCAGCAAACCATTGAACACCCGGAGGTGTCTTCTTACCGTCAGAGAAAATGCGTGGCGCTCGTGCTCTACGGCAATCGAGCTGTGAGCTTATAACCCGTAGACCTGTTGTCTCCCATGGCTTGGTTTTACGGGAAGTGGGCCATCGACCACTTCCTAACCTCCGGAGAGGATGGACTAGGATACTGCCAGGGCACCCACACCTGACAGGAGAACGACTCGGGTACTCATCCAAAGCCTTCGATTAAGTATACACCCGAAAGGCAGCGGGTCTAGCATATGATCGGTTAGCCGACACATGCGGATTGGTGTCCTGGATCTTAGTAGGGAGAAGGGCGAAAACCAACTCCCACCCAGCGGTCGCACGTGGAGGCGCCCAAGACGTAAGACTATGGCGCGACAGTAGCAGCAGCGGGTAGACCATCAGTCAGGATCTAGCCACCACCAACCTCAGCGCACCATACGCTCTCCCGCCATACATACATACATATAATACAATACACAAAGGAAAAATAGATACAACAGTTGCATGCCAGCTGAGCTACCAGCAACGGATAGGCATCGTTCCGGTAAGCTATCAGCCAGCAACTTGGCAAAAAGAAAAAAAGTTATTATGTTTCACCCTACGAAATAAGATCGTAGATGCAGGAGGAGGCTAAAAGCGATGGGGAGGGACAAAGAAACTCACAAGTTAAACGCCACTAAGGTCGGCTCCGTGCCATGTCAGCAAGTGTATCCAGCCAAACGTGTTCACCGTTTTCGGACCCCAACCAGGGAGCCGAGATGCTCCAACCGAGGCCAACTCAGAAATGAGGGCCTTCATTCCTCTCAACTAAGTCATCGCTTGGCCACCTCTCCTCTTCTTCCATCCACATCCCCGGTGAGCAAACAACGCACGTCGAGGGAATCGGTGGGCTGGCATGCGTAACACGTGGTCGAGCCATCGGAGCCTGGTGCGAGAAATAACGGTGCTGAGCGGTTCAGATCCTTTTCCTGGGCCGTAAACAATGCGTCGAATACGCTCATTACTCAAGCGTTGTTCCCACCAGATGTGAGCCAAACTGCGAAGGCACCGATGGTCGAACGTAACTAGCCTCTTCATGTCCGCCGATCTTAGGGGACAGGTTTCGCAACCGTACAGTAGGATCGAACGTACCGCTGCATTGTACACTCTACCCTTCAGGGCAAGAGTGATGTCGCGCCGCCGCCATAGGTGGCGAAGGTTAGCAAAAGCACTTCGAGCTTTCGCTATACGGTTCGTGATCTCATCTTCAATACCACGGGAGCTGATGCAACTTCCCAGGTAATTGAATTTCTGAACGACTTCTAGCTGATCCCCACCAAGGGTCAGCGCAGGAGGCGATCCCTGCTAATCTTGGAGGAACGCTTTGCACTTCGATGGTGCAAAGCAAAACCCGAAACGGCTGACAGCCAGTGCTAATCTGTCCAGCGCGGCTTGGTACGTCTGGGAGCTGTCACAGATGAGGGCAACGTCGTCTGCATAATCCAAGTCAAGTCAGGAAGTCGTTCTCCTGGGACACGCTCCACACCTTCGAAGTCATGTCCTGTAAATGCAATCTCCATGACTTCGTCAATAGCGAAGTTGAAGAGGAAAGGTGACAATGAGCATCCCATTCTTACGCCGCTGGAGATATTGAAGGGTGGCGACAGCTTGC